TTCTAGTCACCAAATGTGTGGGGGTTTCTCCTTACAAAAATAAACAAATCTCTGACACCAGCTGAATGTCCTACAATTTAATTCAATTCTCACACTATGCTGCCCAAACATAGTGTCGGATCTCACAGGTAAGGGCTCTGTTTCACAAGAGTCTCTCCCTTACCCCAACTTAAGATGCCAGTGTCAGGCTCAGGTTATCACCTGTGTTTGTGACCAACTGGCTGTAAATTAGAGGTTCCCATGATCTCCCTCCTCGGGTTCACATAATTTGCTAGAGTGGTGCATAGAACTCAGGGAGACACATTTACCAGTTTATTAAAGGTCATGATAAAGAGTACAGACAGCTAGATGAAGAGGTACATAGGGTGAGGTATGGGAAGGTCCCAAGTGCAGGAGCTTTTGACCTGGTGGAGTTTAGGTGTCACGCTCCTTGTGTGGATGTGTTCACCAGTCTGGAAGTTCCTTGGACCCCACACTATTGGTACTTTATGGAGGCTTCCTCATGTAGGCATAATCAATTACTAACTTTGTTTCTAGACATCCCCCCCCCCCCCCCGCCTTCTTTGGAGGGTGTGGAGTAAGGATGAAAATTCCAAGCTTCCAAGCCTGGTTTGTCTTTCTGGTGACCAGCCCCCACTTAGAGCCATCCAGGAGCCCACCTAGAGTCACCTCATTAGAACAGAAGATATACCCCTAGTACTGTCATCAATTTAGGAATTTATAAGGGTTTTGGGAGCCCTGTGTCAGGGATGGGTCAAAGACAAATATTAGAACAAGAGTTGCTCCCAGTGTGTGAATCACTTAGGACATTACAACGGTTTTAGGAGCTCTGGGGACAGAGACCAATATATGTATTTTCTATTATTTCACAATATTCTGCTATGGAAGAGCCAGCCAAGCCTTCATCTTCCATTCTTTAATTAACAATACGAACTCATGGGTTCCTACTTTTTTTAGTGGGTTATGACCTATTTCTGTCATTTATTTGGTGCTCAAATTGTTCCTGGTTTACCCAGTGGGAGCAGCTTCAGGCTGGTTTCTTGTTACATGCACTGATCATTATTTTGAACACTTCTTTACTTTTTGGAGCACCAAGATATTCCAGCCTCAAATTTTGCTTTCCTATCCCAGCGGTAGAATCAGACATTTCTCCATGGAGCCTTGGATTCCTTATTTTCTTCCTTTTATTTGAGGTATGATTTACAAAGAATTAGATGCAAAGATGTTAATGTTATAATGAATTTTAGCAGTTATGTATATCTATGTAACTATTACCCCAAACAAGATATAGAACATTTTATCATCTAAGAAAGTTTACTCATGTCTCTTTATATCCAGTCCTCTCCCTTCCCCTAATTAAGAAGATCCTTTTTTTTTTTTGTTTTTTTAAACTTCTGCTGCCATAGATTAGTTTTGTCTATTCTTCCACTTCATATACGGAGAATCATACATTAAGTGTTTTTTGGTCTGGCTTCTGTATCAGTCTGAATCTAGTCAGAAGAGAGAAACTACATAGTAATTTCAATAGTGAGTATTTAATATGAAGAGTTATTTTTTTTTTTAATTTTTTTTTCAACATTTTTATTTATTTTTGGGACAGAGAGAGACAGAGCATGAACGGGGGAGGGGCAGAGAGAGAGGGAGACACAGAATCGGAAAGAGGCTCCAGGCTCTGAGCCATCAGCCCAGAGCCCGACGCGGGGCTCGAACTCACGGACCGTGAGATCGTGACCTGGCTGAAGTCGGACGCTTAACCGACTGCGCCACCCAGGCGCCCCAATATGAAGAGTTATTAACTATAACAGGGAAATGGATAACGAGGAATTGGCTAGTAAGAAGTAAAGACAAATTAGGAATAGCAGATATACGGAGAAGCCACTACTCCTAGACTAAGTGAGATGGAGTGTCCAGGGAAGAATGCTCCCTCCAGCACCGAGCTGACATCCAGCCTTTGTTGGAAAGGGCACGGCCATGACTCACTTGAATGGCAGAGAAATTGCTGTGATGTCACACTGAAAGAACTTTGTGGAAATCTGACTTCCAGAATTGCTGGAAATCTGTGCCTTGCAAAGGAAAACTATACAAGGGGAGGTGTCTCACCAAAGGTACTCTACTATAAAACCACCATAGGGAGAGTGTTTGGTGAAAGTGTTGGTTGCTGGGTACTCATGGCTGCCATGCAGCCCAGGGACAGGACATTAGAGAAGCTGCACATGCTGTAGTGACTTGATGCTGGAGAAGCTTTGCTACAGGAACTAGGTGCTGGAGAAATCATGCATACTGTAGTAGTCTGCTGAGCAAGCACAGTGGAACACAGAAACAAAACTCTTCCTGCAGAGTCTGTCCAGTGACCTCTTATAAAGCTTAATATCGTGCGAGCTGTCAAATGAAAAAATATTTAAAGATCTCAGGTTCACTTTCACAGAACAGGCAAAAAAAGGATGAATTTGGAGCTGAGAATCAAAAAGTTATTAGTGCAGGTCACATTTTCTTTGCAATGTCTTACTTTTTATTGTATGCTAGCCATTTTGTATAAAAGAATAGTAGAGACCTAGGTAAATAATATTCACCTCCATAGAGGGGCATGCTGCTGCTTGTGTCTAGCAACTAACTAGAGTAGGATGCTTGGTCAATCTGATTTATCTTTGACCTGTAACTGGGCTTTATTGTTGCCTAGTTAATTTCATTTCACCATTGGCTTCAAATATATTGAAGGTGGTGTCAGGATTCTCTTGTCTGGAGAGCTTAGTATCTGAATATTGGCAAGTTTTCAGAGATCTCTCAGAAACTGAGTCCCCAGCTTTCTGAAATGCAGAAGATTTCTCTCTGTTTTATTGCCTGATTGTCAAATGTTTTTGGCTTATCCTTCCTGTGTTTATTCTTTTAAAAAATTTGCATATATATGCATATTTTTATTTCCTCTTTCTTACAGAAAACGTGGCATAGTATACTACTCTTTTGCATTTTGCTGTTTTTTACTTAACAGTATACCTTGAAAATAATTTTATGTTACAGAGATGTTATTTCCTTTTTTTTTTTTTCAGTTGTATATAGTACTTCATTGTGTATATGGGCCATGATTTATTTATTTGATCTCCTATATTTGGATATTTACCTAGTTTCCAGTATGTTGCAATAAAAAAATACTGTGGTAAATAATCTTTTGTGTAAGTATTTTTATATTGTTGGAGTATATCCCTTTTTGAACTCCTAAACAGATACTTACCCTTTCTACTCCAGTGAAACTGCTCTTATCAAGGACCTCAGTGACCTCTGTGTTCCTAAATACAATAGTCATATCTAGATGAAGATTTCATGTGATCTCAGTCTGTATTCACTCCCTTGATGATCTCACTCAGTCTTATGTCTCTGTTTACTGTCTGTATGCTGGTAACTCCCAGGTGTATGTATCCAATCCAGATTTATTTCCCAAATTCCAAAGTCATATATCTAGCTGCTTAACTTGACATTTTTACTTGGACATCAAATAGACATTTCAAGCACATTTTCCCCCAAATTAAACTGCTCACTATCCTTTCCCTCTTCCCCCTAACTATTCTACCTGCAGTTTTTTTTCCATCTTGTTGTAGAAACTCCATCCTTGTACTTGTTTGGAATGTTGGAATCATCCTTGATTTCTTGTTCACTCCCCATATTCAATCTGTCAGGAGATCTATTGGCTACCTTCAAAACCTACCTAGAATCTGACTGCTACTGACCGTTTCTACTCAGGTCTGAGCTACTGATTTCACTTACCTAAATTGCTGTAGCCACCTTATTGGTTTGCTTCTATAGTTTCTCTTCAAAATAGCAGCTGGAGTGATCTTTTAAAAATTTGCCAGATCATGTTTTTTACTCTTCTTAATATCTGTCCTGTGAATTTTCATCTCACTAAGAATAAAAGGTAAAGTTCTTACAGTAAGGCCCTACACATTGTGGCTCCATTCAATTCTCTGAACTCACCTACTTCTCTAACCCTTGCCTCTTGCCCCTGATCCACTGGGTTTTAGCTACAGAGGCCTTCTTGCTGTTCCTTGAATAACCTGAGCGTGCTTCTGGCTTATGACCTTGGCTTTTACTATTCTGCCAAAATTTTCTTTCCCCAGGCATCTGCATAGTTTATTTCATCATCACTTTCAGGTTTATCTAGTTTACAATTATTACAACCCTCCAATCTTGATTTCTCTCAGCCCCCAATATTCCTGTCTCCTTTCCCTGCCTTTTTTTGCCCCCTCACAGGGTTTATCTGACATACTATCTTTACTTATTTATTTACATAAATACTTATATAGACTCTAAGCTTGCTAAAAGCAAGGATTGCTGACTGGTTCCTTGCTGTATCTGTGTAGAATAGCATTTGCCACATAATAAATAACCAGTAATTACTTGTTGAATGAGTTGAATGAGTTAGTCATATCTGGAACTCAGATCTCTTTAAATCTTAAGGCTTAAATATTTTTCTCAGTTTAGAGCATTGGTTCTCAAACTTCAGCATGCCTCATAATCAGAAAGGAAAACTGAAATTTCATTTACTGTAAAAGTATATTCAGAGAAATTGTTTTAAATGTTATGAATGCATGTCAAGATTATAAAAAAATTGGTAGGAAAAATAGGATTTTAATAGATCTTGTAAGACTCACAAGGAGAAGGAAAGGCTAATATTAAGGAGGAAGACTGGGATTTTGTAGAGAAAGAGATTTAAAAGTGATAATAGGGGTACCTGAGTGTCTTAGTTAAGTGTCTGATTTCGGCTCAGGTCATGATCTCACAGTTCGTGGGTTCAGGCCCTGCATTGGGCTCTGTATTGACAGCTTGGAGCCTGGAGCCTGTTTCAGATTCTGCGTCTCCCTATCTCTCTGCCTCCACCACCCCCCTCCAAATGAATAAGCATTTTAAAAAGTGATAGTAAATAAGTTAGCTTATCTGGTAGATAGGGATCTGACTGGGTGTGGGTGAGTGGGGTTTTAAGTTGTAAATATAAGTTGTCCTTAAAACTTCACCTCTCTTTTTTATCTCCAGTTGAATCTTCTGATTCTGTCTTGCTTTGTCTTCACCTTTTCTTTGCCCCTTTCCCTGATTATTGTATTACTTATCTATTCTGACTATTTTGTTTCATATCACATTCTATACTGTACTCCATTCTGATCCAGAATTTTATGTTCGTAGTATTATTTTTCAGGTATCGTTTGGTAACTTCATTATTTTAAGGTAAGAGTTCTGGCTGTTATTTTAAAAAGTGACTAAACTTTTTCTTAATCTTTAGTTGTCATTAACTGTCCATTTGAAATTTCACTTTATCTGAAATAGAATTCTTAGTTTTAGTTGTGAGCCCCTCCCCTTATTTGGACTTTTATTAATCCATTTAATTTTTAAACTGTCTCAAATTCATATACTTCATTCAATAGCATTTGGGCATGCACATTGTGGTGTGGGTATGCTGTAAGTATTAGGTGAATGAACTTATATAATAAAACTTTCAAGTGTGATTTTTTCTTCTTTGTACCTCACCAAGGACACCTTTCTTGATTAAAACTATTCATTCTTTGATTCTCTGCTGATAGAATTTTTGATACCTCAGTTTTTAATAACTAGGTTGTGTGTGTGTGCACGTGTGTTAGTTGACATCCCACTGTTTCATTGCTTTACTGATGAATAATTTAACACTACTGATGAATAATTGAACACATTCTGTTAAATGAGAAGTTTTGTGAGATAATTGCCTTTACTGGTCTTCTGGGTATTAGATTCTTTCCCTAGGTGCTTTTACATTCTATATTAGGGTTGTGTTCAGCTGCATGTAGCAGAAACTCAAGTACAGTGGCTTAAAAATTGAACTTCTTCCAGAAACAAAGAAACCTGGATATAGGCTCAACTGACTGAGCCACCCAGGTGCCCCGATTTTGTGTAAATAGTATTTAAGATATTTTTTAGAATGTGATGCTCTTTTAGAAACGTTTATTGGTTTATTTATTTATTTATTTTTAATGTTTATTTATTTTTGAGAGAGAGAGAGAGAGAGAGACAGTTCATGAGTGGGGGAGGGGCAGAGAGAGAGTGGGAGACACAGAATCCGAAGCAACCTCGAACCCCAGAAACATTTATTGGTTTAAAAAATTTTTTTTAACGTCTATTTATTATTAGGAGACAGAGACAGACAGAGCATGAGTGATGGAAGGGCAGAGAGGGGGAGACACAGAATCTGAAGCAGGCTCCAGGCTCTGAGCTGTCAGCACAGAGCCCGACACGGGGCTCGAACTCACAGACCGTGAGATCATGACCTGAGCTGAAGTTGGACGCTTAACCGACTGAGCTACCCAGGCGACCCACGTTTATTTTTTTATTTATTTATTTTTTTAAATACAGCGAATATAAGAGGTTTCCTGCTGCTTGATCTTTTGGATATATAAAAATGATGAGATTCTTGTATCAGAATCAAGATAAACTGTGAATGGCGTATGTAGTTTTATTGAGATCTGCTCAGATAGAGGATTATCACAGCATCTTACAAGGACTGTAGTTGGCTTTTCAAATTAAACTAAATATAATAATGTTTAATAACCTGGGAATTGTCATAAGGCAGATCATTTCAGGTTTCTTTTCTGAATTCATTAGTGTTCTGTGATTTTATAATCACCACCTGCCTAAATATTAATATTCTTAGTGTGTCTGACCGAAAAAAATCTAATATCTCAAATAATAAAGTGTCACCAATTTGATATTTTGATAAATGCTTTTATTAAAAATAAACTTGTTCTCATACTGGCAAAAGGTTCCCCATTTTGCTTTATATCTTTTTAATTTCTTATTTGCAAATTCTGGTACTTCATATACTTGTTTGGACCACATTATTCTTCTTTGTAGCCTTACTGATAACTACTCATTAAAGTGTATTTGTTTAGCTTACAAACATGTCGAAGATATGTATAGGTAGAGATATTAAAACAAGTAGAAAGTATTATTTACACTGAGAGAAGAACCTAAGTTCTCTTCTCTTCCTCTGCCTTCTCCCACTGCCAGGGTTCAAATCCCATTGATCATAGTTTGGTTGGGGAGGTGGTGGTTTGCATTAAGGAATAATGGGAATTTCCTCATCTCTCCCCATGAGGGACTTCGAATGCTAGAATAATTAAACTAAACTTACCACTCTTTCAGAAAATATTTATTGAATGTTAACATGGGCGATAATGAGCAACTTGCTAGAGATACAAAGATGAATTTAGGGAAAAACATTACCTCATAGTACATGATTTGAAGCACAGGTTTTGGAGTCTGACAGACCTGAGTTCACATTCTGACTTGTTTATTTGCCAGCTGTATGAGTTGTGACAAGTTATTTGACCCCTTGAAGCCTCAGTTTTTTTGTCTGTAAAAGACTCATGTCAGTAATTTTGGGTGAAGTGAATGAATGCACCGAAAGTGCTTAGCACAGTTTTTGGCATATGGTAAGCTTCTCAAAAACTGTTATCTACTACTGTGGTGATGTATAGTGAGGAGTAAACACACAATCCAGTGGAGAGAAAGTGGGTTTTTTTTTTTTAGGGGAGGCTGGGGGCAGGAGACTAAAACATATTAATGAGAAGTCACCTGTCACATAATTAAAAAGTATGTTAGATTGATATCCTCCACCCTTGTTACAGTGAATTAAGTAAGTCTCCACTGAACACAGTCTTTTTGACTCACCTGTAATTTTTTTTTTTTTACTTAGTGTAATAATTTTTCTTGCAAGATATGGGACATATATATGAGAAATCAGATTACCTCGTTCTCAGGATGTCTTAGACTGGACCTACTTTCTTGCTTTAAATCTTTTTTTGTAGGTTTTCTTTGGCACTTAAGCTTTGCTCATACTATAATGAGGTTTTCTCTGGTTACATGTTGAGAATAGCAATGGTGTTCATGTGTAAGAATGATTTTTGAAGTTAAATGCAGTTGATGTATAGTGGGATCGTGTATTAAGGTATATAATTGTTTTGGGTTATAGCCCCAAATACAGGAATTTAAAGGAAAATAGATAAGGAAAAAAAATTTAAATGATATACAATTAGGGCTACATAATTAGGAAAAAATAGTAAAATGATTCTCACTGAGTATGATTTAGGTATCCCAGATTTACAAATCCAGCACTCAGGCACAGCTCTGACATTTCTTTAAGAGACCAAATCACCACCAACTGTAGTTGTTCAGCATGCCCGGGATCTGAACGTAGAGACAGAAGGAAGCAAGAGTAATATTCTACTTTCCTTCAAGATGGAGAAAAGAAGCCATGGTTTATGTGTAAACTTTCCCTTGAACTTTATTTCAGGGAAGCTAGGAGAAATTATTTTACTTCTGCAAAAGTCTACTTCCAGGAAAGTAGCATTTTAAAAAAGAAGTAGGCAGCCAGTGTAAGAGACATGTTATAAATCAAGAACTAAGGAGTTTAGGAAATTGATGGTCAGAAGATACGGGAAAAATGGATGATGGTTTGTGTCTCCAATGAATACTGATTTTCAGTTCACACTTTAATGTTTAACAATTGCGTAGTAGGTGCCAGACTGTGCTGAAGTGCTTTAGTTGCCTTAATTTTCACAACATATGAATGGAAAGTCACTTTCATTTATTTTTATTTTTATTTTTTAATTTTTTTTAACATTTATTCATTTTTGAGAGTGGAGCGTGAGTGGGGGAGGGGCAGAGAGAGTGGGAGACACAGAATCAAAAGCAGGCTCCAGGCTCTGAGCTGTCAGCACAGAGCCTGATACGGGGCTTGAACCCACAAACCATTAGATTGTGACCTGAGCTGAAGTGGAATGTGTTTTTTTTTTAATTTTTTTTTTTTTTTAACGTTTATTTATTTTTGAGACAGAGCATGAACAGGGGAGGGGCAGAGAGAGAGGGAGACACAGAATCTGAAACAGGCTCCAGGCTCTGAGCGGTCAGCACAGAGCCTGACGTGGGGCTCGAACTCATGGGCCGTGAGATCATGACCTGAGCCGAAGTCGGACACTTAACCGACCGAGCCACCCAGGCGCCCCTGAAGTGGAATGTTTAACTGATGAGCCACCCAGGCGCCCCAAGTCACTTTCATATTATTAGCCTCAATTTGCAGATGAGGAAATGGAGTCTTTGAAAGGCTAATTAGTTTGCTCACACTCAGAAAACTAGTTAAGTGGCTGTGGGGAATGTCCCCAAGCCCCAATCCTTGCCATTATACTAATACAATTAACTGTTTTGTTTGGTGTTAAGAGAGAATCAAATATGAGAGTGTTGATTAAAGACAGATATTGGGGGGCGCCTGGGTAGCTCAGTCGGTTAAGCGACCGACTTCAACTTCAGGTCATGATCTTGCAGTTTGTGAGTTTGAGCCCCACGTCAGGCTCTGCGCTGACAGCTCAGAGCCTGGAGCCCGTTTTGGATTCTGTGTCTTCCTCTCTCTCTGCCCCTCCCCCGCTTACACTCTGTCTCTCTTTCCTTCAAAGATAAATAAACATTAAAAAAAAAAAGACATATTGGGAAACTTGATTTCTAAAGCTGGTTCTGATTTGGTGAAAATTCTGGGGATAGTTAAATAATCTGCCTCACATCCATTACTGAGCCATCTTCTTGTCAAGCCTGGTTTCTCTTCTGATATCTTCTGCTTTCTATGTCTGTCAGGTTTAGAAATTGGAGGTTGGTCCTGGCATTATCTTTAAATGTCCAAAGTAGATAGCGGGGAGTAGCATAGAAGCCAAGTAAAGATTTAAGTAACATTTTTGAAAATTTGAGGATGGTTCATGTTTGGAGGATTAATAGATTTGACTTTGGTCCATATATCATGATGGAATCATAAAAAATTGCTTTGCAAGACAGGTATCTTGATAAGAGTAGTTGATTTCTTACTATAATCATTATAGTTATCAAAGTGTTCTTGTAGTTAAACTTATTTTGATCTTCTTAATGACAGTGTAGCTATTCTGCTAACTGCCCATAAAGTGTGAGTTTATTGACAGTGTTCATTTGGTTTTAGATTATTGCAGTGTCTAAGATTATCCAGTCATTGCTTTCTAAGAATGCTCGTTAGAAAACAGCAAACTATTTTCCATTGTCAACACTTTAAGGATTGAGATTTGAGTCTTTTGGTGGACATAAGTACTAATATACTCACTTCTGTTATATCACTTATTTTGAAAATGTGAATTATTTTAATGTGATTGATATAGCAGGGAATGATTTGACCTTAATGGGAATTTCTCATGCTTAAGCACAATTTCCTCTGTGAGAAATACATGGTAAATGTAAAAAACTGTACCCCACTGAAACAGGTTGCATAGGAATATACAAAATGCA